GCACTCTGCACATCATAGATGGAAGTGGTGCTAAGAACTGTCTGAACCCAGAAGCTTGCTTTCTTTATTAATAGGATATGGCATAGTAAAGCTTTGTTTCATATTTGGTTGGGGATATTGAAAAGTGATAAAAGTATCACCCTTAAAAATAGTTTTTATTTTAAAAGACATCGGCGAAATTTGGTTCTTACTGCAGGTATTTTTATGACTTATAAATTCCCAGAGACCTTAATTGTACCATTAATACAAAAGTGATAAAATATGCAAATGAATGAATGTTTAACCAGTTGAGTAAAGTACTGAATGTAAAAAGAACCTATGACTCTGCTGAGCTGTAAGTGAATATGTAAATTAAATAGCTTCGGTTATGAAAAGACTTGTGTAAGAAGTAATTACTTCTTGCTTTCTATCAGCTGACACAATATTTCTTGGCTATCACAGATTTTTCAAGACATTATTATGAGGATGACAAGGATAGCAAACTCCTAGCAAACATTTTTGTTTAGTTAGAGATTTCCTTTGGATCATTTAAAAAGGAAAGCTAATACTTTTATTTCAATTCTGCTCAGCAGGAATGATAAATAGTAGCTGGGCTTAACATGAACTCAGTTTAAAATGGTAACCAACACAGTAAGTTCTTCCGCAATGCATGAAAATTATAAAACATATGTTGTCAAAGCAAGCCATATCTGGCTTACACACTTCAATTGGCATGAAAGGACCCACGAAACAATATTTTATACAGTAGTCTGAAAGGGATTCTCTAAATAGAAATGGCATATATTTAATATATCCTTAAGGAATTCAAGGTCAGAGTAGCATCACTTCAAAAGGAGTCCCCACAATTCAGGATAGAAGAGCTATTCTTTGTTACCATGACTTAGTACTTAAGATTTGTGTTATTTATTTGCTCCAGAAAATAATAATAGTAATGATAATAATATATATTTACAAAACAATGCAATTGCTCATCACCTCTTGCCCAATGCCCAACCAGTCCCTGAGCAGTTGCTGCCCTCCAGCCAACTCTCCACGTTTTTAGGTTTTTTTCACATGACATCATACAGAACGGAATATCCCTTTAGCCACTGATTCTGTCTTCTACAAGCTCCTTGTGCTCCTTCAGCTCCTTTGCTGGCATGACAGTACAAGATGCTGAAAAACTAAAACATCCTCAGCATTGTGAAGCCACTGCTCAGCAAGAGATAAAACATGGGTGTGCAATCGTTTTCCTCCTAAAGCCAAAACACAGCATCGTACCAGACACAATGACAAAATCAATTCTGTCCCACCTAAAACCAAAGCCTAAAACCAAGACAATGCATTCTGATTAAACTTTTTTTTCCAGACATTAAACAGTGTGTATAAAAATAATCTCCTAGCTTGCTTTGATGGCTTCTCAATAGTAAACCCAATCTCAGTGCACAAACTTGTTCCCTCAGCTCTTCCCATCACATGAGCTTCCTTTGCACCTCTGACTAATTCAGCTTTCTGCAGGGAGGATTGGCTGAGTAGTCCCATACACCTACTCTCAGTGTCCCATCCAGACTTAAACCTGGCAAAAAATTTGAAGCTCTCCAAGAACCATACGGACATGCTGAAACTTGCCTGAAAATGAGATTGCTGCCTTATGGCTTCAGTCAGAACATTTTTTGAGGGGGTGTGGATTGCAAGGGGTGGTGTGAACAAAGCCAAAACTAGACACAGAAATGAAATGAAGAATAAAAGTCACGGTGTACTAATCAGCAATTCATTCAGCTTTTTCAGACATTAAGGAGATAAGTAGATTGTGTCAACTGAGAGAGAGAAATATAATAAATAAAACAAATTTCCAGAGCAGCAATTTTTTTTTGCGTCTGATTCAGACTTCATGAAGCCACAAATTCCCTTTTTAAAAAACAAACAAATAGAAAACTTTTCTGTTTATTTCTCCTAAGGACACTGGCAGTCTCCAAGGTCTCTTAAAACTAAAGAGCTGGAAAATAAACTAGACTACTCACTTAATAGACCTTGTTCATGCTGGATGGTGGCTTACGTCCCCAGCAAAGAAAATGCCATTCTTCTTGGAGAGTCTGGGTCATGGCTCACTGTGAACTAGAACAGCAAAATAGAAAACTAGATGGTAAGTGTGGCTGTAACGATGTTTTGCATAAAACATACTTTATATTGGGAGAATATGATTCTTCCAATGCAGAACATATTCTCCTACAAAACAGGAATGAATAAATATATTTACATATGGAGCTAGAAAACATGTGGAGAGAAAAAAATAAGTTTGTTTCACTTTGAACATAGAAGAATTCCATTCTTTAGTATAAGTGTAGAGTGTGTGAGGTTGAACTCAGTCAGCTGCCTTTAACAGAAAATACTTATAAAGAAGGCAATGGGTTTGATTGTACTTGAAAAAGGATGTGTGCAGCATATTCCTGTGTTATTCATAATATTAGTGCTTTTAACAGATGGGAACTTATAGTGAGTCCTCAAATAATTACAAGATAAAACCTTCCTATTTCTGTATGAATATTTTGATAATTATTATTGAAAAAGAAGTCAAAAAAATGTATCCATTATGAATTTCAAGACAAAAAGGAAGAGAATAAATAGAACAAAATTTCAAGTACTAGAACCCACATTTTTGGTTGGAGAGGAGGGAGAAATTTGGGAGGATGGAAATAATCACATTGATTACTTAAATATTTATTTGAAGGTGTACCTCAATTATAGAATCGCCAAGGCTGAAAAAGATCTCCAAGATTATCCAGTCCAACCACCCATCTACAAGCCGTATTTCCCAACTAAACCATGTCTTTCAGTACATCTGAGTATTTCTTGAACACCTCCAGGGACAGTGACACTGTCACTTCCTGGGGCAGCCTGTTCCACTGCTGGCCACTCTTTTGGAGAATATGTTTTCCTAGGGACACACTGATACCCTGTGGTGCTCACATCATATCTTAAAATCAGTAAATACATGAGCAGAGGTTCAGGGATTTGACTTTAGATGCAGTCATTTTAGACAGTCAGTGATACAAGGCAGCAGAAATATTTGAAAATGAGTATTAAGATTTTATATATTTTATATATTAATATTTTTATATTGACAGTTTATATTTTCACCTTTGATCTCCTACTACTCACTTGGGTGTTGCAGAGAATACAGACTGCTTCCCTTTCAGATACAAATTAATCCAGAGTCCTTTTGGTTATTCATACATATTCTAGATACTCTATAAAACCATATTTAAAAATGCAAGGTTCTAGGTGATAGACACATTACACTTACATAGCTCTCTCAAAGTCTGTATATTTTATCTTCACAGGAGCTCAGTTCTCTAAGACAGTGGTAAAGGTCACCAAACTCTTAATTTAACTTGGGACCAAAATCTGATTACATATATTTTTCATCAACGAGAGATATTTCACATTTTATCTTCACAGGTAATCAGTTCCTAAAGATACACTACCCAATAAAGCTCAACAAACTCTCAGTTTAATTTGGGGCCAAAATCTGACACTGGCACTTAGGTCACATTTCACCAATTTTGAAAGGAAACCTGGCAAGTGAAACTACACTTCTAAACCTTCCTTTCATCCCTACCAAAAATATAGGCATAATTTTATTCCATGTAATTGTAAACATAAAATATGTCAGTTAGCTCTCTGACTACTCAACTGTGATGCCCAAACATAAAAATGTCTAACCTGATAGCGTTAATGTCCATATTTGATAATATGTGAAAAATTATTGCTGAGTCTATTTGGGCACAAAATAATACTCTTCAAAATTGCCTTTATAGACTAGTCTGTATCACTTGGATGGTATCTGCATTCTGTCATTCTTTTCTTCTTCCAGCTTTTCACATAATTTATCTTTTCTTTTTGAATTTCTTCAGGAACATCTTCAGAATCTATTCCCACCTGTTCAAATGTTAGTTAAAATAGAGAGAATGCAAAATTCAACTTTGTAAGTATCTTAATTCCCTCCCCCTTTTCTTTTTTCTCTTTTGCATTTCTGCAGATATGTGCAGGTTTATGTTGGTTTTTCTCTTGTTAAAATACAGTTTCTAGGGCCAAAAAAAAAACAAAACAAAAAAAAAACAACAAAAACAACCCACAAGCATTAAATTCCCTACCTGTACTAAACTCTTAGCCTTCAGGAGAAAAACGTGTTTTGATAAATAACAGTAATAGAAGAATAGCAGAATAATTAAATGAAAATAACACATTAGTACTTTTACACTTATCTTACAAACTGTGCAGAAAACACATTACATTTCTTAAATCTCAGGGGATCAGGAATATACAATTAAAGGACTAATTATTCTCTATTTGCTACACCATCTATTTGCAGCTCTAATCATTTGTACAGAGTTTATAAAGGTCTTTATTACACCTGCTAGGCTGTTTTCAGTTCAGAATACTTAAACAATAGCATTACTAATGAAAAAATTCACTTTGCATTGTTTGATAAACATGTATGAACATAGGAGGCACTTTCTGCTTTAGATGCAATGACTTCAAGATTAAAAGCATATGGATATTGTGACTTTAGCATGCATATTCTAGTCTAAAACAAAGTGCACCTTTTGTGGTCAACATTTAATATCTCCTTGAAATGTTTCTTATATAAAAAATAAACAAATAGAGATTGCATACATATGTATAATGGCATATCCCTGTCAGTATTAAGAGAGAAATACTTTCTGTCCCATGCTGATGTATTACTGGGTCCCTACAGCAGGCAAGGTAGAAGACACGGGTGAAAAACTAGTTTAAGTGTTAAGTGCTTAAAAAATAGTCTCTTAACTTTAATTAACTTCTATATCCTGCTGTATGGTAACTGTTGAGTCATGACCTGAACCACAGATTGAGCACCAGGGAAAGGACCCAGTCAGCCCTGAGAGCACAGGTGAAGGCAAAGGTGAAGGGGTGGAGCCTGCTGCACATCTCTTAGACCTCATTTAACAGCTGATTGCTAGTGAGGAAGAATCTCTTTCTGCAGAGCTCTCCTTTGTGGAGTTATCCTCTGGGATGCCAGATCTTTGGAGATGGGTGAGCAGTCCTTTTTCCTTCTTTTCTTTCTGTTGTGTTGGTTCCTCTGCCACCACACCTCTTGTATCACCTTTCCATTATGTTGGTCTTTCTGACTGTTACACCTGCCAGCAAAGCAGTTGAGCTTTACTGACTTTATACTGCCTAAATTAAGGTACTTGTAACATTTCAGATCAGGTGAGAAGGGCAGCTTCTGACAGGACAGATCTTGAGGATTCATGAGCCTCATCTAATTTCAGGATCTAAATTTACACCACAACCAGTCTCAATGCAGAGCAAGTCAAGAGCTTGGAATCTTTCCAGAGTATCTGCATATGGGCACGTAGTTATGTGCGGTCAGGTTTTGACAACACTTTAAGTTGATAGTGAAGTTTCTGTAATCATTTAGTGTTATTGATTGTAGGCTGCCTCATTCGTAGGTAAAATACACATGTCTCGGCTAACCAGTTTTAGGAGGTCCATTTTTCAACCGGGCTGTGCTAGGAGTACACAGGCATGGACTAAGCTGATGAACACTAATTACTCAGAACTGCTGCCACTATAACTCAAAAATGTTAAATACTGTGTTTGCACCCTTTCTTTGATCTTTCAACACCAAAGCATTATTCAGATTGATCCTCTCAGCTTATCTCTACCTCTAGTTTCCTCTTAATCAAGCTCAGAAAATGAAAAGAAACAAACCCCAATATAATGAGAAGAAACACGCTTTCTCAGAGGGAGGCACATTAAGTAAAGAAGGCTTCAATCACTACCACTTTGCCTTTTTCAGCTGGGAGTTATTTCATCTGTACATACCTATAGAGGTGAATGTCGCTGTGGGTGATGCAAGATGTGAGCCCTGATTATGGTTCTCCACCCATCAACTGTACAGCAGCACTCGCCTTGTTCTTAGTTATTCTTATGCTACAGGGGGGTCTCTGCCTTTGTAAATGGATAAAAAAGATTGTGGAAAGAGACAAAGAGTCTTGAAAGAATCTTTTCTTGCTTTCTTGTGTTTCAAAGATACACAATTTGTCTTGGAAATAAAATGTGAGTCACTACTCCTTGTAGCACCTCTCCCTTTCCCCGAAGAGGGGAAGTAACAGAAACTAAAACTGTATTATCTGGACTATAGTTTAAAATAGCCAGTATAATTAGTTCAAACTATCGCTTCAAGAAAGTGCATACATTAGTCAAATAACATCTGCCATCCAGTGCCTAAGCTTAAATGTGATCTGTGTATCTGAAAACTCTTCTTGTAATTTCAGCCCAGTTTAATATCACTAACACTGAAGTATGCAGACAAAAGCAGACTAGTTCCAAAACAACAGCAATGATATTCCTACTGCTGTTACTTAGTATCTGTGGACTGTGTACAGCTTTTTTTAGAAATCAAGCCTCTTGTAGACCCAACACTGGTAAGACCATACTGTGGTTTAATGTTACATATCCTGTAAGTTACGTCAGTTTAATTTTGCGTGTACTAAGAACATTGTATGAAGATGGAAATTTTGCTGTATTTTAAGGCTGATTTTAATATTTGCCAGATGCCACTACTCTAAGAATTATTAATTTTAAAAGCATTTCAACTTGGACATCTGAAAACTGAGATACCATGCAAAATGTCGTATCATGGTACTCTAATGCAGCTCTTAGCACCTCCCAGACCACTTTTTCTACAGAGAGGTCACATAGGGATTAATGCACTAAGGGACTTATGCCTATGGTGCACTACTTCCTGCTGAGTCTGTGTTCCACTGTATTTGCCACTGGCTTGCTGCTAGTTTGCAGCTGCTTTGGGTGGTTCTTAGTTTATAATACCATTCAGTAATACAGTCCACATAAAATCTGCATTGCTTAAGTAATAAATATTTGATATAATTGCCTTTTTCTCAAAAGGGCTGTTTCCCCAAGGCTGTGCTATCTCAGTAAAGCAGCATGTGTTTCTCTCTGCTGTTTCAGTGCAGTTGTAGTACCATCTTTATATGTAGTTTCCAAATCTACATGCTCATCAGGCCTGCCCTGGCACAAGGCTTTACTGTGAGTCAGCCCCTCTGTCTATAGAAGTTACCTGTATTCATTCTTAGTCTTCTCCTTCTGTCTTACCAAGAGGAGCTGCTTTTCCTGCCTTTCTGCCGCTTGTAAGCCATGCTGCTGATTACTTTAAAAAAGGTGTACTTCATGTTTGCTGTCAACATCAAGAGCACATTTTTGAACAAGACATTCAATTCAACTGGAACAGAGATTGTATAAATTCCTATTACCTTTCAAAACTTCAGTAAAATTAAGCAATAGATGTTTTGTGATTTTAATGAGATCACACATTCCTGATTCAATGATATCAAAGGTTTTCTGTACTGGGATAAGGACTATCAGCTCCTGATGCTCCCACTGGTCAGTGGGAATTACTGAAGCAGTCTCACACCAAGTTCTGCCAGTGAATTTTGTTTCATAGCATCTGATGTCTGCAGGAGTGCTTATGAAACTTGCATTTTTTTAAACATAAATATTTACAGGATCTCTGCCTTCAGAAGGCATATTTAAGTTGTCATGACATCCAAAGAACTAATAATTTGCCGCATTAGGTCATTCTCATTTTATTTTTCTTATATTTATATTCTCAAATCTCAATTTTAATGTCAGGGAATAAAGAGGAAAAAACAGGGAATTCCCTTCTGAGTACATATGAATTTCTAATAGCAGAACCTTGGTAGTTTTTCACACTCGTACCTCCAAATGGCTCAAGAACTTTGAATGTCTCCATGTAGTGGAAAAATTATATCCCAGCTGTGCTCTTGTATTCAAATTTCTGTTAAAATATGAGGCTCATGCCACCACCCTATTATCAAAGCTGAAAAGGCAAGCACTCTTTCTCATGCTATTTAAAATAATACCAGAATTTAATTGTGATTGATTTAGAACTCTTTTGCAAATTAGTGGTCTATGTTAAAGAACTGGTTTTCTGTCAAATCTGGATTTGAGCAAAATCAAGATTAGAAAAGATATGACAAAATACTTTAGAATTTACCATAATTTGGGAATATTTTAGCAAGATCCTTATTGTAAAGTCATTCCCTATTATAATGTATTCTAGACCTTACCTTCATCTGTATACCAAAAAAACAATGTATCATGAATTGTTTATGTTTTAAAGTATTATCTTTGCTTACTCTCTTGCTAGTTGTTTGGGATTCTTACTGTTGTCTTTTGGTAGTAATTTCATTTTATCTCGTGCTGTATTTTTGCCTTTTTCTTTTTCAAAATTGTCTTATAGACAAAGCCTGTTATATTTCTGTGTCTGTAATAGTTAAGCAAATACATATAGTAACTACATGATGGGGAGATCAGTCAGAATTGTCTTTGTCTTAAACATTTGAAACTGTCTGTAAATTACAAACATTTCAAAAGATGAAGGTGGCCTGCTGTGTTGCTTACTTCCAGGAAACAAAAGTTTCAGTTAACTTTTTTTTTTTTTTTTTTTCTTTTTCAGTGGGCATCTTCTATTTTTTTTCATAGTAAAAGTTAGATGAAGCTAGTAAACAGGGTTCTGAGAATTTCTCAAACCAGAAAAACATTCTTTAGCTATTTCTGAGTCAAAGGCTCGAGAATAACCAAAAATGAAATGCAGACACTATTAGACAGACTATAATTAGGTTCACATGAATGCAGAAGGAGAGTTATCTGTTTAATCTGTTTAATGCATCCTCTCTGCAGCTATATAAAGGATGGTTACTATCTCTGTCCCTGCACTCATGAAGTGGGAAAGAGACTATGGCCAGCACTGCTTCCTGCCCAAATAGATGGAGCGGACTACAACTCTGTCCTAATTAAGGCCAGCTGTCACATTCTACCTGTCTAATGTTCCTATTTTTTGAAGTGTGTGGGAGTTGCCAGTTCACCTTTCCCAGAGACACCCAGCATATATGACATCCCTCATTGATGGTCTGTGCCTAAGCTGGAGAACACTGTGAGTTAAATTCCCAGTAAATACATCAGTTTTTCACCAGCCAATGTCATAGCTTACTGAACAAGCTTTTAGTAAAGATACTTCTTTTCAGACTTGTATTAATGCCCACTGAGCAAAGTCAATAGAAATCATTGCATCTCTAGAAGTACCACTCATTGCAATAGTATCATAAAAATGAATCATCTGCAAGCTGCCTGCACTTACAGCTGTCTTGCTTAAGTTATTGGATGGCATGTTGCCTACTCATGTGGTGTTTAGACATAGTGCAGGGAATAGGTGTCAGAAAAGATGATTTTACTGGGGTAATTTAAATAGAACAACAACTGTTAGCTTGTTAGCAATAATTTCCCTTTTGGTGACTGAACAAGAAAGCATTATTCTCCCGTGAAGCTTTCCAGCCTGCTGGCACGTTCACCCTTCTTCAGCATCAGGAAGTTGCAGTGAGTCAGGCTCCAAAACTGTTCATGGCTGTGGGCCATTCTTGCCAGGGATACCAGCACATCAAGGACATATTTTTCATCTTACTCGAAGTGTAGTTCTTATTTTGGTGTCAAAGACCAGGAAGGTACAGAAGAGGAGATGTTTCCTAGCCAGTGGTGTCTTATTTTCTTCCTTTGTCTCTTTCTCGATCTAATTCTCCCCACGTATTTATCTTTTCAGCTGGACAAAGTGTTCTGAATTTTTTTTTTTTTTTAAACCTCTTGCATCTTTCATAAAAACAAACAAACAAAAAAAAAAACTCCTCAAAGAAGATTTCTGAGGAAAGGCTAAGCAAAGTCATGGCATCTGTTTTTAAGCACTCTGAATTTTTATGAAAGAGACACTGATTCTTTCCTCTCAGCTGGGTCAATTAATTGCAGGAATTTGAGTTTAATTATTCTCCTCTGCCTGTTTAATTATTTTATTACTTTCCAAAGAAGTTACAAGTGTAACTGGAAACATGAAAATAAACAACCCTCACTCAGTTTTTCATCATAGCACAACACAGTACAAACCACTTCTCTACTCCCACTCAACATTCAAAGAACAGAGCATCTCAGATAGAGCACCTGCCACCTTGCAGAATAGTGCCATATGTGATTATGCAACAGATTTATGTAGAGATCTTAAAGGCAAACTTTAATGTAGAGAAGAATTTTTCCTCCTACTGTGGGCTCTGCTCATCTACCAAATAAGATGTGTTTGGGTGTCTCCATGTGCCTTTTGTTGTCTCATGTTTGGTGTTTGTTTTTTTTTTTTTCATCTTAAGTTTAAACAAGATATGTCAGAAAAAGTAAGACAGCAACATGGATAAAGATACTTGAGCACAGATATAGAACACTGCAGTGTATTATTGATGTTTGATTTGCCTTCAAAATCTGTTTATATACATATATATACATATATATCCTGAAAATAACATTTAAGGATGTTAATTTTACCCAAGTTTCAAAAACAAAAATGTGGATTTTTGTTCTCTGTATCTCAGTAAGTATGATTAAAAAATATTTTTCAGTCAATTGAAATGGAAACTAATTAGCTAATTCATCCTTAAAATACTTGGGTATTGAATTTTATGGTCAAACCTCATAAAATCAAGTTAAATAAACTATAAAAGGATCTCTGGAAGGAGGCAGAGTGTATTTGTTTCCTAAACTGCAGGAGTAAGTGTTACCAAAGATGTGTATTTTAAGAGTAAACTTCACTTTAGTCAGCTGATGGCACTATTATGTGTAGGCAATGTTTCTATGAAATGAAGGAAAATTAGTGACTTTTTCCTATGAGTCATTTGATACCTTGTCTTCATGTTGAAGGGAAAAAAAACTGATACATTTTACAAACAGCAGCTGTGATCAAAACTGACTTCTAGGAGAATTCATTAAAGATTTTCCTCATATTAATTCTAAAGAAAATTCAAGAAATAATCATGTTATGCATAGTAGAGATAATAAGAATGAATAATCTTCATATCTATCATGCATTAGCAAGATAAAATGATTAAAAATAATTAAAAAAATGATTAGTTGTCTGTTGTTTAATAGACAACTAATATTTTTAGCTGCTTTCTTTTTTCTTTTTGCTTTTATGCTTTTATGTATGTGACATGTCACTGAGTTGGTTTTTGTTTTTTTTTTTTTTTTTTTTTGCATATCAGCTGACTTTAAGGACTAGTTAAATACTTGTATAACAAATCTGAACAGTAGCTCTGGAAGCTAGATGTGCCATCCAACTGCCCAACTGAAGCCTTGATGAAATCCTTGGAGTGTAGTTGTATAACCTGTAGAAAACTAATTAATTCAAATCACTTAAAAATAAAAGATAGGTACAGCCTCTGCTGCAGTCCCAAAGCTGCAATAATCTACCAACTGGAACTAGTGTTAACAGGAACTTGAGTTAACTGATTGACATGAACAAGATTCAATGTGCATCTTCAAATTTTAGAATAATTCTCCAGTGCTATTCATTCTGGTGACAGAGAAGACCTTCCCTGATGAGTGCATGACTGCTAATAAATAATTTTTAATTCAACTAAAGTTATTGTGGGTAGATTACCTGGAATACTGTACCAAGTTCTGGGCTTCCTGATACAAAAAAAACCCCAAAGGTCTCCTGGGAAGAGTCCAGCAGAGGGCCATGAAGATGATAAAGGGCCTGGAGCATCTTCCTGTGAGGACTGAGAAAACGGCCTTGTGAAAAGACTTGAGAGGTGATCTTATTAATATTAATAAATATATTAAGTGTGGCAGCCAAAGAGACATAGTCATTCCCTTTTCAGTGGTTTGTAGGGACTGGACAAGGGGAAATGGCTATAAGTTTGAGCATAGGAAGTTCCACACCAACACGTGTAAGAACTGTTCTGTCATGTGAGAGTGATAGAGCACTGGAACAGCCTGACCAGGGACCTGTGGATTCTCCTTCTCTAGAGATATTCAAGACCCACCTGCATTCTTATCTGTTAGCCTGCTATAAGGGGGCCTGCTTTGCAGGGGAGGTTGGACTTGATGATCTCTAGAGGTTCCTTCCAACTTGTATAAGTCTGTGATTCTTCCACTTCCAAATTTAAACAGCTTGAGTCCCGAGCACAAAGGAAGATCTTTTCAAACAGTCTGTGAGAAGTCTCAGAAACTCCACAGAGTTTCTCATCATGGTTTAGGAATAAGAAAATATAGTGAATCCTTGAGAGGATGGAGAGAGAATGTGGCTCTCCTGGCTTTTGATTTTTCATGACATTTTAATGTGCTGTTTTCACAATGTTTGACATTTGTCCAGATCCACCTTCCATAAGCAGATATAAGCCAGAGGCTTATAGGACAATGACAATTACCAAAATGGAAATCTATAAGCTACTTCACAGCTGAATTGTGGGACATGAATACAGCCTTGCGTACTATGGAGGAGGTGAAAAAGGCAGTGTTCTTTCTTCAATCTCACATCTTTCTCTTCCTCCTAGCAGGTTCCTAATGGTTTTCTCTCAAAAAGACATCCAACTCTTTCCAACCAGTTTCTATTTTTTCAGATAAACGAGGGAAGTAGAAGGAAACAATCTATCATTTTCCTACATGCATTATAATTTTTTTTCAGCAGAATTATTTTATTTCATAAAATGGTGCTTCTTCGGGTAAAAAAAACAAACAAACAAACAAACAAACAAAAAAAAACCCCACATTTGTGGAAATACGCCAGTGTACAACAAGAAATCTGCCAGGATCCCCAGGAAGAAAAGAACATTTAGAGAGATGAATTTCAGAGGAGGAGAATTAGCATCCCTTGAGGGATGGTTTATATATTGAAATGCTTAGTGCTATGCTGTATATCACCTGCAAGTTGTCTGATGCCAGCCCTGGATGTAGAGCAACTTCAAGAATGGCATTTGCACCACTGGCTCAGGTACCTATGCTTTCCATGTACTGTACACAGAGAGCTGGGGATGCTGAAGAGTTGGGAAAGCACACAGTTCAAGCCTCCAAAGATACTGGGTGAAGGAATACATTTCTACAGGACACACATCTAGGTGAAGTATTTTGTCTTTCTTCCCCTAATGTTAAAATGCTCAAAAAGCTATTTTGCCTAAAAAATTGCACCTCCATGAGGATTCATGAAGAATACAGGTACCTGCCATGCTTGTGTTAGATGAAATCTAACACAAAATCAATTCCAGATGACTAGTCAGATCTTCAGGAAAACAAAATTACATCTACCATGCCAAAGGTAAGTGAGGAAAGAGTGGGGTAGGTAAAAACCAACCAACCACAACAAAAAATGAGATACAGCTGGTGGAAAGCTGGGCTTCTGGGGAAGGTGAGAAGTTAGTGCTCCTGCATGCTCATGGATGTCACCTTAGGTTCATTCAGTCCATTCCCCGAGGATGCTATACCTCCCTTACAGCTGATGCATGGTAAGGAAGAGGCCATACACACAGGAAAGGTTTGGTGAACAGTGGCTGGCACCTGTGCCACAGGGCA